ATAATATCAGCTAGTTTTCCTATTGCACCAAGAGATTCATGACATTAAGTGGATTGTAGCTTGGCAAACTTGCCCACCCAAAGACAGTCAGAGCTATACAGCTGGGGAGAGATCCTGACTTCCATTCTAAGAATATCAGTTCCAACTTCAATTGGTAAGTGCATGGGATTTCCAGTTTGAGAAATGAGTTATTTTTGTTGGAGACCAGTAAGCTAATGCCAGAAATTCTAGAAATGAAAGGCCAGTTTTCATAAGATTCCCCTGGGCCAAAACATCCAAAAGAAATGTGGCAGCATTCTGCAATAATCTCAGAGAAATTTTCTCTTCAAAACAGGACTTTGCTGAAAAAACTTGGTCAAAAAAAGGGCGAGGGGAGGAGACTTGGAGGAATCTCCAGTTGCCGCTATTCTAATTTCCTAAGGGCAGGAACTTGGTCTTGTAGTTTATCTTTGTATAGCCGAACCATGAATAATAAAAACTGCTGTGGAGAACAGGAAACACGGCATACCTAGGAAAATTACTGGCAACGTGACAGATGTGAACACAGTTCTATGTCACAACGTGAGAACCTTCAACACCCTTGAAAAGTAACACACATCTTTATATTATGGGCAACTATGACATATAAACCATTATGATCCCTTTTTACAGAAGAGGAGAGGTTTAGAAGCTTGGTAAGTGTAACAAAGCTAGCATGTGTCATTACCACGTTGTCTGGACTTAGAGTTAGGACATTCATTTCCAATTAGAATACATTCTATTTTCCATGGAATATTAATTTGTAAAAGATTAAGAAGCTTATACATTTTTAAAACATCATTCTGTCCTTCCTGAGCCCCAGCCCTGGCTCACTCTGGCTGCCTACAGCCCCAATCCTTTCTTCCTAAGGCCAGCAGCTTTGCTACATGCTCCAGCCCAGGATTGAACAACATTAAGAAATGAAAATTTGATCAGGTTACTGCTCAGTAGAAGAGCATCCTGAATGCTTTAAGAATAAAGTCCTAACAAGGATCTTTACAGCTTAGTCCCCACCTTTTACCTCTCTCATTTCTTGCCAATTTTCCCTTTGCATTTCACATTCTAGTAATGTCAAATGACCCAGAGTTCTCTGCGTCTAACAGGCCGTTTCTTTGCTGTGTCTCTGTGCATACCGTCGCTTTGATCACTCTTCCAAACCTTGCTCTGGTTCTGCCTTCTAAGAAGCCTTTCCCAGACCTTAGACCCCACTGCTTCCAGGAATACCTGTACCTGTCAACTCTCAGCTGTCTCCAGATCTGGTGTGCATTTCTATTATTGCCTATAAACACGCTCCTTTTGTGCTTGTCTCCTGCCGGAATACACTAAACTCCTAAGGGCAGAAAGATTACTATACCCAGCACTGGCGCAAGCCTGACACTATGACTGACATGGCGTTTAATATCATTGATTGTTCTTAAATGATGCTTTTACAGCTTCATGTTCTGTGCAATTTCCAAAAAAACAGCACAAAACAAAACAAACATTTCATATATCCTACAGAACTCAGTCTAAAATCACACCCAATCTTTTCCAACTAATAGAGATCACAGTTCAAGACATACCCAGCTGGCTTCAGGTTATAATTTCTCTGATACTTTATCACATTCTCACTAAGTTTTAGAAGACATTTTGCCTTCACTGTTGGTGCTTTATTATTCAGATGTCTCTCTCTCTTTTTTTTTCATGAGACAGAGTCATGCTCTGTCACCCTGGGTAGACTGCAGTGGTGTCATCATAGCTCACTGCAACCTCAAACTCCTACGCTCAAGCGATCCTCCTGCCTCAGCCTCCCGGGTAGCTGGGACTGTAGGCGCATGCCACCATGCCCAGCTAATTTTTTCTGGCTTTTTTTTTTTTTTTTCCCGTAGAGACAGCATCTTGCTCCTGCTCAGCCTGGTCTCAAAATCCTAAGCTCAAGTGATCCTCCTGCCTTGGCCTCCCAGAGTGCTAGGATTACAGGTGAGCCACTGCACCGGCCTACTGTCTGTGCTTTATTAAAGAATAGTTCTAGGCTTCTCAATTCTCTAAAACTTTCCTAGTGTGGAAAAATGCACATACCCTTAAGCCAAACATTTCCTCACTTTTCAGTAGAATACAGTAATTTCCTACTAGTGTTACTTTGTTTCTGGTTTACAATTTATATACTTAAAAACGCCATCAATGTTTTAAAGCCATGAAATTCAAATTTTCACTGATATTGGTACCAAAAGCAGTGATATGATTATACACGTATGTATTTGTATGTATGTAATATATACATATATAACATATACATATTTAATGCATTTTAATAATTAGAAGATATGATTATTATATAATTATTTTCCACTTGTGGATACATCTGGAGGTAAGTATGAGATCACAACACAAAACCTGTTTAATGTGTAAGTCACTACTATAATACTTAATCAGGTACATAGAGATTCATGTTAACTCTTTTTTCATCATGAGACTATGAGTGGGAATGTAGTCTACTAACTGGCAGGTACTGAAGAAGTTAACACAGTGCTTCTATTTGTGGAATTTAAAAATGTAATAAAGACAATGCTATAATATTTTAAAGAAAAGAAATCTTTCTTGTTCATTGGCTATTTCCTTTTTTTCTTTGTTCCTTACAATCCTGGTAAACATAAAAGTGTACATATATTTTTATATAGTCTGTATTAAATTTTATTAATTGCTTTTTTTGTTGCTATACCATTTATTTAACCAGTCTCCTATTAAGGGACATGTGTTAACTTCCCAGGTTTTCACATTAATAGTTAATGGTACAGAAATAAATATAGGTACATAGCTCATTTTTAGAAAAAAATCTCTTTCTTTAGGATAAAAGCCCAGAATAATATTTTAATACTATGTATTAAATGTATATGAAATGGCAGAATTGGATTTCAAAACACTGTGCTAATTTAAACTGTACCAGATTCACCCAAACCTTGTAGTCCAGAGTCTTATAATTCAATCTCCACTTATCCCCAGTTTAATAAATATAAAATACTATCTCATTGTTTTATTGAGATTTGATATTTTCCCATTTGCTTATTTACTATTCTAACTAAATCTTAAGGAACAAGCTACTAACTAATGGTAATGAATGAATTCCATAGGTAAAGTTTTTTGTTTATACTTTTATTATATCACAATAATTGTATGAATTATAGCACTAGTAATCTTTCTAACTCATATATGTCTTCTTTTAGAAGAAATATACTCAAGAGAAAATAAAAAATTACTAAAGTTTCTCATCTGTCTCTTGCAGTAAAGAATAACTATGTTTATATATTAAAATATCAGCATTTTTATTACCCCCAGAGTAAACATAAATTATAAAACAAAATTAACTCCTCATAAATAAGAAATTAATTTAAATTAAATTATTATAGTAACATATTAAAAAAACTAGTGTGTATATATATACATCATTCACTTTCTCTAGGCTATTAATATGGTTATCTGTTAGGAGTATTTTCAAAACTAAGAGGAATTAGATTGAAAAGTGAAGTCTAGGGTTTCATAGAGGTATAAAGATTAGGGTTCTGGAAATGTGTGTGGGTATGATGAGCTACTTTAGTTGTGGTGGTCAGGGAAGGCTTTCTGAAAATATAGTCTTGTCAATACTTTGGAAGTCAGCAGTCTTATAATCTGCCTTTTCTACTGATACCAAAATGGTACATTTTTAGAGCAGGTAATTTCTGTCTTTGTCCTCAAATACACACATTATTTATTTTTTTGTTTTCAACAAAACCTTGTCTCAGCACTATAAAGAATTCAAAATTTAAGATTAGGTTCTGTTTTAAAATGGAAAACTATTTGTCTAAACTCAAAGTATCTTTTTAATATAAAAATATTTTATTTGAAAGTTAGGTTCATATGTGGGTCCACAGGAGCTTGTTTAATTGATAATATATTCTGACTATAGTACTTTTTCAATTGCATAAAATTATTGTTTTCAACATCCTTTTCCAGAGGGAGACTGCATTTACTGTCCTAGTGCTGAATGCTGAGAATCTGTGGACCCTCCCACCACATGGGGGCTCTCTCAGCAAATTTCCCAGAGTATTTCACAGGCAGAGATGGACATCTACTTCTAGACTTAGTTGCTGGAGAGAATCTAGTGTTTGGAGGGGAAAATGTATCAGGTTAATAAGCAGAAATATAATGTTAAATCAGAGAATTTGGGGGAATATATATAAATCAGTATGATGTAGTTATAAAAGCAAACAAATCCACTTAATATTTATAGTCTCGTGAACACAAGAATTTGAACCTGGAATGTAGCTGGAGTTTAACTAAATGTAGCAGAAGTATAACATGCACCAGTCTCAGTTGCCTTGGGAACAGGGCTCCTTCCTCGTGTTAATGATTCTATAATAAGAAAAGGGACATTTAAGTGAAGTGCATAGTAATCACAGGTAGAGCAACAGGTGTCTAGAGAGATATGTTTGAGTATTTAGCAGTGTCTAAAGGGATCGTGGGGTGTGTGCATTAGTGCAGTGGACAATGGACGAGTTCATGAAGTGGAGGTGTGGATTAGCAGATAAGGCATCAACATGAGCCCAAGTATTTGAGAACCTCTCTGGTCTGCAGAACCTGTAAACTCTCCCAGTGGTTTGTTAACAGTAACATGGATAAACTACCAGTTCCTTCCTACACTTTCCGACAGTGTTGCTTGGAATAAGCAGCACTCCTAACAGGAGCAGGGGCAGGTAGATAAGACAATACACTGGGAAGCAAAAGAGCTCTGTAAAGTCAGCATAAGAGAAAACACTGTAGGATGCACAGGTACATAACAGAAATAACTTTTAAAATAAGTTATCCCTTCAATAGTTCCAAATTAAAAGAAACAAAAGCAGTTGTCCCCTAGTGGGCAGAAGGTTGGGTAATTCTTCATTTTATTATGTGGATAATAGTTAATGCATCTATTTTAAACAATACGGTATAATATTGGAAGTTGTGCTTAGTTCCAACATTTCAAAACTTACCTCTAAAAGCACTGATATCCCCATAGTGTACCTGTAGTACAAAGTATTTACTTCCAGTCCCCCCTCCAACTCTGAAACCAACACCTAAAGATTTAAGGAAAAAAAAAATTAATATTTTAGAAATTGAAGTCTAAAATGGAGCTAATCTAGGGTTGCTGATCTATGAAATCCAAAGGGAAATAAAATAGCATATAACATGAAGTTACAGTGAATGTTATATGAAAACCAAAATAAACTAGACATTGACTGAAAATTTCTAATATACTCTGTCATTACCTAAAGCTCTGATGGAATTCTATCCATAGTCCCCACGTCAGAAACAGAGGAATCACTTACACTTTAAGAGGACAATTCACTCATTTTGAAAGAAACAGAACAAACAAAACAAAATTCTGTCCCTGTTGATTATTTAACAGTTGTACATAAACCATTATCTCATTTTGTTTTGTATATATCCATATTCATTTTATTTTCTGACTGAATATAGGAAATAGACTTAGGACCATCTCAGGGGAATTACTTTTCTTCCCTTGTCAAAACAGCTATCTACAAAAATGTCACTGAGGAAATCAGTTACCAAGTAGATTACAAAGTCCAGTATGTTAGTGAATTTTTGGAATCTGAATGCTCTTAATTGTCTCACTTTTAATAAAGTTTGCTAGTGAGCTAAAAAAAATCTACAGAGAAAATATTTACAAGCAGAGGAAAAAATTTTTTTCTCTGCTCTACTAATGGATCTTAAAAATGTCAATAAATCTACGACAGACATCCCTGTTAGTTTCCAAACTTGTTTGGTAGTGGATGCCTGGGAAACTATACAGAGAATTCTGAGGCTCATCTGAAGCAAGGCAAAAGAGACATCAATTAATGATGCTGGCACGAGTTGGGGAGGCGAGGGAGGGGCATGTGCATCACAAGACCATCCCCGAACCACGGCAGACTTAATTTGTTACAGAACTGCACAATCCCTTTAATATTAAGAAACATTCAGGTAATAAAAGAGTCTGGTAATTCACTAATGCACTGGAAACTATGAACAGTTTGGAGGTGAAGTCAGAAAGGCAGCTAAGGTCTGGCATCACATTAAATACCCAGGGTTCCAGGACTATAAAAAAAAAATCTCTGCTGAAACAGCAATTTATTTAATTCCTAGCTCTCTTGGCTCATGAAATGCTCCTGCTGTCAAGAACCAATGTGCCTGAGGCCAAAGGTGGCTTGAGGTATACTTGGTTATTTTCTTATTCTTTCTAAACTGTTGTGTGGGCAAACTACTTACCAAAGAGAGGCAGAAAAGAGTAACTACCTACATGAAACCTTTTCAATACAAAGCGGGTTAATGCAGGCATTTTTCCTCTGAAGCTGCAATATGGAACACTGTCAACAAATGTTAGCAGGGACTATAATAAAAAGTACTTTGGAAACAGAAATCAAGCAGCCTTCAACATAAGACTATCCAAGAGGCCTCAGATATACCTTTGGGGAGTCTTGTAGGGGGAGCATTTCTGGCCCAGGCATACAGAATATTGGCTTTATCTGTACAAGTTCCTTCATCACAAAACCTGAAGAAAAAAAAAAGTAGCTATAAGTGAAGATTCAAGTAGTAAAAGGCATAAATTTCTCCCCATGGGGGTAGATATTTCAAAGCAAAGTATTAATGTATCAATATGTCATTATTGTATCATATCGGCTTTAAAATCCTAATGAAGGCTGGTGCAAAGAACAATTTCTAGGTGAAATAAACACATAAAGGGAGAGTTTTTGTTTGATTGTTGTCCAATATGAAACGATCTTGTGATATATACATATATAGATACATTTTTACCTTCATATGTTCATATGTGGAATGTAATCCACGTAATCAAGTAGAAAACCAAACGTTACACAGAGTCTATATAAAGCAAAGCTAACCTGATAGAAATCTGGGCATGTACTAAAAGAAACATCATACACATTTCTCCTTTGACGATCATTGTTCAAACAGTGCCTACCCTCAGCAGAGTGAGAAATACAAGTGTATCCCATTTAAGGGGTTCTTGACCATATATATTTTTTATACGTACAATACATACGAATTTTTTGAGTTTATGAATACTAGTCATGCCATTTATAATTTGTTTCGTATTGTACAAGTCATTTAATCTTACTGAGCCTTAGTTTTCTCTCTTGTAAAACAGGGATAATTATACTTACCTTGCAGAGTTATTCTGTAAATCAAATGAGATATGGAAAGCACTTTATAAAACTCAAAGAACTATACCAGGGTAATGCATTATTTAACAAAACATTCACTTTATCTAAAGATTCACTGTTGAGAGACTTGTGTGGTGAAAAGAGCACCCAGGCAGAAAGACACATCTGGAGTTCAAATCCAGAGCCAACCCTTAATAGCTGTGTATCTTGGGTGTGTTTATAAGCCCTCGAAGGCCCAGTTCCTGTATGGAAACTCCTGATAAGGCTGTTGTGGTAATGTGTGTAAGGCACCCAGTATGGTAACTAGGATATTTGGTAGATCCAGTTTAATACTTGGTAAGCTGTCGGACTCCATACCACATGTTTTCTCATTACACTGTATCTCTTAGTTTCTTCTGTTATAGAATTGAATTTGTTCAAAACATTGTTAGGCTACATTTTTATGTTGCTTTTATATATTTGTGTTTTGGAAAACTGGGACCAAAAAGGTCAGAAACCGGAGGGTAGCAGATTGAAAGGCTTGAACACTATCAAGGACGAGGACAAATACAGCTTCTTAGGCAAGAGGTTGGCTTATACAGGAAAAAATGTACACTAACCATGGCCTGGAAGGGAAGCAAAGGCTTACTGAACAGGTTGAAACAGAAGCTAGAAACCCAGAAACCACCCAAGTTGCAGATATGAAAACCAGTGGTAAGAAGTTCCTTCACACTTAGAGGCAGGGACTCCTACCACGTTTCCTGCTTATAGGCAGTGAGTGCAGAAAACAGTGGTATCTGTCTGAATTAAGGGATGAGGGACCACAACCAGGAGGCCTTGATAAGGTTAGGCTTAGCAAATGCTCTTGCTTCTATAAATCAGGCTGCAGAAAGAGTCTGTGTAATGTGTAATATAAAACACATCAACCAGTGGTTTCTTACTGTTCACTGTCAAGTACAATATACTTATGTTGAAGGATCATTACCACGTGAGAACTGTACGCTGCAACAAATGTCTGTGACATCCTTGTGCCAAGTGTGCTAAAAGTCTTAGGATGTTGGACAGTGCCCAAAAGCAAAATTTTCCTTCTTGGCCTCATGCTATAATAGCTAAAGAAATGAGATTGTCAGATGTGATGAACTTTGTATCTTACTGCTGTGAGCAACTAAAATTTAAAGATCTGGGTGGCAATTTTCATAGCTTTCAACAAAGATCATAAATATACAAGTGCCTAATGCCAATGTGATGACAGTCTGAGGTTAAACAAGGTAATTGTTTCCTCTGATATGGAAGTCAATTTTCAAAGTATGACTAGAAAGAACCAGATTGAAATATAACAACGGAAACTGGTTTAGTAAATTTTTCTAAGTTACACATTTGATTATGTCATTTGCTGGCTCAAAATCTTTCAAATGCTTCCCAAAAATAACATCGAAATAAAACCCAAATCTTGTAGCATAACAGATAAGACCTTTCATGGTCTGGGACCCTGTTATATCTCCAGACAAAACCTCCTTTTCAGTCATGTCAACTTGCTGCCAGTTTCTAACCTCTCTCTCTCCTCCACTGTTCCCTTTGCCTGAAATATCCATCCTGGCTCTCTGCCATGTACAGAGGCTTAAAGAACTGAATTGGCTCAAATTGTATTGCACTGTCAAGTTTGTTTAATAGATTTTTTAAAATTTAACTAAAATAGAAATGCCAAAAAATTTGAATTATTGTTTACTTAGTATTTTGAACAAATCGGCTTATATTCACTCTCATAAGAACACTGCAAGCAGCTTGTACTTTAAAGCTGAATAAGCTCAGAGAGTTTAAGTAACTTCAAAAGGTCACACAGCCAAGCCATGATTCAAAGCTCTGGCTGTCACACACCCTTCTATCTCAATTCATGACACTGATTTATGGGCAGAGAATATTATATGAAGATAAGCTTTGATTACTACTGTCATTTCTGAACTGAGTTGCAATTTGTGCATGCAGTTCTAAAATCAAATTCTAGATGAAATAAGTTCTGACTTATTCACAAGGAGACAATGACTTTATATTTTATTCTCTTAACAGGTCTGCTAAAATAGAGTTTTAAAAGCAAACCTTGGTTTAATTTTTAAAACCCTGTTTTATGATTTTGTTTAAGGTATTCGACTCAGGGCTGAGTAAAGAATGAGTCACTGCAGGACACTGGGGCATTGAAACGAATTCTAAAACTTAATGAGAGGACGAAGTGAAGAGGAAAAACAAAAGGCTGAGAGAAACGGGTTCCATAACCGATAACGCGATTGAGTGGCAAAGAGCATTTGGATGAAACCCTGTGCCTCTTCATTTTCACATTTCCATTTCCCATTTTAAATGAAAATGGCATTGTATTAATATTTTCTTCACATAAAATGACCAAAAAAGAGAAAGACAGTATGGTGTATTTTGGCCTTCCAAAAAAGGCCCTACAAAAATAAAGGGAATTTTTACTATTCTTATTAGTAAAGAAAAGCCTTAAGGCTGGGAAGCAATGTAACCCTTCATCAATGGCTGTTGTAATTTCAGGCCTCATCAACCAGGTTTCTTATTCTTATCATTCTAGCAGCTTCTGCTAAAGGCTTCTCCAGATTAAGCCAATTAAATTGTGAAAAGATTCACATAGCTCCCTTGTGGTTTCTTAGTATTCATAGTAAAAATGATGAGAATTAACATTTGAAAATAAAACTATTCTGGATTCTTAGACTTTTCCCACAGAACCCTTTTCACCTCTAATCCATGGGGAAACCACTTGGATGGCATGAATATTTTCTGACTGCACCGAGCACTGAGAAATGCTAGCCTGTCATTCTGAATTATCCAAATAAAGCATGATTGAGTGTTAAAGTACTCTCTGGTTGTGTCTGTTAAAGGCTATTTAAAATCCAAGGTTATTCAGGGAAGATCAGAACTGATAACTCATTTTTTCTTTTAGCTAAAAAAATAAAAAAAAAATAATTGTCATGCCCTCAGGTTAAGTCTGTGTGGCCTTAAATTCCAATTTAATGCATTAAGTATCTAACAGAACCATAGCCAGGAAAATTAAAGTTAGAAAGTTTCTTCGAGAAACACAATATAAAATCAATGGCATGGGTGGAAGGTTCTTACCTTTCAAAATGCACTCAGTATAAGTCAGGTATTCAAATACCATTAACTGCTCTATAAACCCACAGAATATTTTCCCAAATTCAGACAATCCTATGTGAATTTCAATGCAATGGATATGCACTGACATAATATTTAGAAAGCTACCTAATGTAATGAGAAAGCTAAATAAGAATGGTGATTAAGAAGTACCAGCCAGATAAATAGCACCACAATAACTACACCCTACTCCCGCAGTCCAATGAGATCAGAGAGACAATAGAGTCCATAAGATTAGAGGGTATGTCTGTTTTGGCTACACCAAATTCTCAGTGCCTAACAAAATGCTTGACACATAGTGGATACAATAAATACTTTACTAATAAATGAATAAGGATAATAGCTACCAATTCTATGTGCCAGGCACACCACCAAGCACATTACTTATATCACTTACTCTTTATGATGGCCTAGTCAAGCCATCAATGATGAGTAGCTCCATTTTATAGATGAGGAAACAGACCAATACAGGTTAAATCATTTGACCAGTGCTTAGTACAGCTATCAAGTAGTAGAGCTGAGATTTCAACCCAAGATGCTCTGATTTAAAAGTTCTGGCTCTATCCTAAATACAGCACTGCGTTGTAATATTGCTACTCTGTTTAACATAAAATACTAGTCTTGTGAGGAAAGAATAATGTCCAAATTTACGTAGTGTTCATTTTTGTCGAAGCAGTCAAAAGGATTACAACCATGGCATTCTATTTTATTAAAGTTGACACTAGTCTACTAAGAATTGGGCAGTTGCTAAGGCACTCCTATTAACATCTCTAATCCAGGCACCTAAAAATTATTAGTCAAGGAACACAATCATTGGTAACCAGAAGTCAGAACCAGATACCAATCGTATTTTAACAAATTCATTTCTTATACTGTCTCGATATGCAATATAATACGAATCTGTTACAATATTAAAGTGGACAAGGAAGTAGGTAACTAACTTTTGCCTAGCAGAAATTTATGTCTAAACTTTGCTACTGCACTCAAAGACACATTTTACAATGCTTAAAACAAGGGACAGTGTAGATTTTGGAGACTGTGTTATTTTTATTTATATTGACAAGGATGTTATGCATGTTTAATGTAGAAGTTTCATATGGCAGAAGAAACAAAGAGGGGACTGCAGAAGACATACTATGAATCTTGCTGTATACACTGTATAGATGAAAGGGCATAAAGGCAGCATATGCAAATACCATTCTCAGCCAAAGAGTCATTATCATCATGAGGGAGG